AGCTTGGTATTTGCTACGAGAGCCTATGTCTAAATATTATGTTGCTGTTGTTTATATGAACACTGTATGGCCCATCGAGCGACAAAAAATTAGAAAAACGCTGAAAGAAATTAATGAATTCAACTGATATTTGGAAAAAAGATTTTTTTTCTCAAGTACGAAAAACAACCTAATGAATTAGATGACATTACACTTGCACAATTTGTTTTAACACATAACAAAAATAAAAGAGGACAATAGATTGAGAGAAAAGAATCGAGAGTTATCAGATATAGAAATTAATGACATGGGTAACGATTTTGACGATTATAAAAGAGAAATGGTCACTCTGCATATACCATTTCAAAATGAGGACGATGATATTTTGCATGGATTGAAAGTTATTGAAATTTACTATGAAAATGAAGATCTGATTCTAAATAGGCGGAAAGAATTCGAATCGAATTTAGATGTTAATAAAACATCCAATAGGAATGTTGTCAACCGAAAAGCTTATTCCACCTGTCTACGTGGCCTCGTAACTATTACTAAATATAGTTTGTTTTGGTGTTGTATAAGAAAAAAAAAAAATTTTAGTCACAATGACTGATTGCATCTAACAAAAAGTAATAAAATTTGACTTGGACTTGATTAATAAACGATTTTAGGGACTTGTTAATAAATTTAATAAAAAAATAAATAAATACAAGTTAAATATTACAAATACAATTTATTTTGTAGTCAGCTGCTTTATTCTTATCTATAATTAAGAAAAAAAAGTTATCTTCAAAAACATAAATTTAATTTTATCAGTTTTTTTTATTTTGTATAATTTTTCTTAAAATTAATCATTTTTGATTTTCTTACATTGCTAGTGACATATTACTCAAATATGATTTTACAGTATCTACAAGTTGCTTGGTTTGCATGTATAAATAATTAATTTAATGATTAAAAAAACTTAGATAATAAAAGTAACATGACCGATTAACACTTAAATTCGTTTTTCTTTTAACATTAGAGAATATATTAATGATTGAAATTTGTATGAAGTGCTACAGGGATATTTTGAATATAATTTAAATGCGTTATTCAATTCTCTCACGTCAACTGATTGAGAAATTGCTTCTATATTTGAAAGATTTACAGCCCAATGACTGAAACTAGGGCAAAATTGTTTAGCTTTTGTCCAAAATTCAACGTAATTAGTATCGACACCATCTTCATAAAAACGCAAAAATGGCTCGTTCTTACAAATGTACATGCCTATAGCATCAAAAGAATCTGTGGGAGCAGTACGATTGATAAATTTATTTAATTCACGAAACATACGTCTATCATTTTCAAAATATTTCCCATGATGCTTGGGGGAGAAAAAATTGCATGCCAAATATAAAGGAGTGATAGTTTCAAGAGCAGTATCTAAAAAACAATTACCAAAAGTTGAATCCATGAAAACATGATGATTATTAATAAGCTGAAAAAGTTCTTGAACTGCATCGGAAAGCTTTAAACGTTTTGATTTTAAAGTATCTTGTAAGTTATTTATGATGGTTAAGAATTCTTGCAACACAGGAGTTGCTGAAACAGTAGTATTAACTTCGACTCTTCTCAAGCGATCAATCACATAATTAAAACGTGTGGAAGTACAATAAGAAGAGTTTTTATACTTAAAGTATTCTGGGACGAGAATAGTGCCATCGTGAATGAAGTAGATAACATTAACATCAAATACATTTTTGGCTCTACTTATACTCGCATACAAAAAATTTATAAGTTTGTTTTCAGCCTGTTCTACTTCCTCATGATGTGAAAACAACAAAAACGAGGATTCGCCATTCAATGCATTTAAAACTGATAAAAATAGGAGTCCAGAATCACTAACATCAGTAAAAACGTCTACAACGTTGCAATGCTCTTTCTGTTTGTTATAAAGGTACGCCTGCTCAAAAGATTTTTTCAATATATTACCTTTAAAATCATCTGTTTTCGGTAAAATATAATTTTCGTCGAATGCCTTACAAATATTAACAATACTCGGAGCTCGAACTTTATCTAGATCCATGTTGTTTGCCAGGATGAAGTTTAATAAATGTACATGTTTCTCATCTGTGGAAACTCCCGTTGCTGTATTACTTTGAACCTGTTAAAAAAAAGGCACCTATCAAACACAGATCATTATGAATACACGAATTATTGTTTGCTAATGATAAAGTTAAAAAACTGCATTGAAAATAAAGGCAAAAGTTATGAAATGCATATTGTACGTATAAGAAAAGACATGAGTGGATGTATACACACACACACACACATATATATATGTATATAATGTTTCTATGTATATGTATATATATATAATGTTCAAATATGCGTATACAAACACAAACAAGAGACGTGCTGTGTGCAGGGTGATGAGGCAAGTATATCGCAAAGCTCTGACGGGACAACAACAGCTGTATTAGCAGCAGCAGCATAGTCATAATCATCGTNGGACACCAGACTAGCGCGTCAGCTGCACCACTAGACTGGCTTGAGTGTTGAGCTGTTAGGCTAGCGCAAGTACTGCATCATACAGTGTACCATACTATTATTATTACTACAACCAAGAACTTTTTTTTAACACAAACTGTAAAATAAAACGACACAGTTATAATTTTGCTTTTAATTATTCATTTTGAATCGGTCGAACGAATAAGTCACACGATTTGTCTTCTAACTAAGGTTCTCACTTCAGGTAATGATCAACATTTCTGCTTTATCGCAAGATTAATTTGATTTTATAGCTTTGTAACATTGTTTGGTCAATAAATAGCTATTTTACCGAAAAAAGAAGAAAAGACACACATTTTTGACACTTCAAACACTAAATCAAGCTCTAACTCGGCAAAATTGATAAACAGTCTGAGACAAACAGTGACAAACCAGGTGTTTGGTTAATAATGTGTGATCTGATTTTTTGTTTTTCTTCTTCATATTATAATTAGTTTTAAACAGAATAAAATGGAGCTTGATTTTGGTGAGATGCATAGTAATTGAAACTGATCAATTCAGCCGTTTTTGTCAAATCGCAAAAAACTGCCATTTTGAGCCATTTTTTCGAAATTCAATAACTCGCATTCTGTACAATATTTAGAGCTGAAATTTTAACACAAGACATATATATTATATCCCTTATCATACCCACAAAATTTTAGCTGAATCGGTTTTAAACTTTTCGCGAACCGCAGAAAAAACAGCAAAAAGGTTCTTTCGACAAATGGCTATAAAAAAGTTGTTAGCTAACATAGGTGCATTTTTCAAACGTATTTCGCTTCGTTTATATTTACTCTACAAGTACCTAAAATTCCATTCATTTTTACCAATTAGAAGAATCTTGAAAATTAATTGCAAAAAAAGCACATTTCGTTTTGAACGCGCTTGAGCAAAACATGCATACAGAAAGTGGGCGAGACCTCCAGCGGCGGCTAATCGGGCCGCTGATTCCACTGACCAGAGAGCAAAAAGCCGTTTTTTGTAATCAATTTTCAAGATTCTTTTAATTGGTAAAAATGAACGGAATTTTAGGTACTTGTAGAGTAAATTTAAACGAAGCGAAATACGTTTGAAAAATGCACCTATGTTAGCTAGGACCTTTTTTCGGTTTTTGCTGCTGTTCACGAAAAGTTTAAACTATTCAGCTAAAATTGTGTGGGTATGATAAGGGATATAATAGATATGTCTTGTGTTAAAATTTTAGCTCTAAATATTGTACAGAATGCGAGTCATTGAATTTCGAAAAAATGGCTCAAAATGGCAGTTTTTTGCGATTTGTGAAAAACGGCAGAACCGATCTGATTCCAACGCGGCTAATTTTGTTCGTCTTAAAATTGCATATCTTTTTTATGCAGCACTTTTTATGTACGATCCTTCGGTTTTCTTCTACACGCGTAAAACATGTTTTGTCCATTTTTGCCATTTTTTGGGACTCTTGCTGACATTTGTACTTATTTAATTCTGTTTCAATTTGTTATAATACGTTAAAACTACTACCTTATTTTTTTCGAGCTAGTCAAAATTTTCTGGGCTGAAAAACCAATTCCACCATATTATAACGTATCATTTCCGAACAGAGCCATACACCTACTGTACCACGAACTGGAACGGACCATGCACTACATAAACGGACAGCTGCTGCACTTTATAGATAGTACTGCTACTGTACAGATGCCCGGTAGTATGATGCCTGATAGTGTGATAAGTTTTCGATAATATGTATCGATAATTATAGGAGTTATATTATCGATAGCATAAAATATCGGGCTAAAATTTATCGATATAAATGGTTCGAAAATTTATGAATCAACTAATGAACAAAGTTTTTTTATTTATATTTTTTATAACACATAAGTTTTTGACAATAACTACCGAACAAACAAACTGCTACGTCAATACTAATTAACACTTTTTTTCAAATATATTATTGGTCGAATACATTATTTTATATTAAGAATTTTCGGAGGTATTCCAATCAATTATAGACAAAAAGTGAAAAAATAAAAGCTGCTGAAAATGTTCAGGTGTCAGCCTGGTCTTTCTGTCTATCAAAATTTCACCAGATATGGAAAACATTTTTCTAGAAGGAACTGAGGTTGCTAAAATCGTTAGATATTTGAAACCCAAATCTGCTAATTCTTTGCAAGAATAATTTTTCCAAAACTGCAGAGGATTAATGTCTTATGGTAAAACTAGTTGGTGTAAATGATATGGGAATTCCTCCGACATCTTCATTTGGTTCGATGTAGCAAGATTACTTGGGAGATCTTCCACGTATTACTGATCTTGGTAAGACTAAAAATCTAAAGTATTGAACTCCTTTCAACGGTATCTGACTGATTGTTTAGAATCACTGATTTCGAATTATTAAGCTGCTGAGAAATTTCATTGATTGCATTAGCGCAAGCTAAGCGATCTTTAAAATGAATTTGTTTGAACCTTGGGTCCAAAATAGTAGCTTGAGTAATAAGCGATATATTTTCTATGTATTTAAATCTATGTAGAAACTGTTGCATTAAAAGCTTTTTAATTTTAATAAGGTTTGCGTTGCCATTTCCTTTCTATTTTTATTAGTTTCACATGTTTTCATGACGGGCATGGCTAAACTACCGGTAGCATATTTTTTTCCAGAAAATAATCATCTTTAAAAGGTCTCAACAGATCAATAAATTTACGAATTACTTGCAGTTCGATTCATGTAACTGCACCTTATTATCTAAAATTGTCATTTGTCAATTTTTTAACTTTGGCTTTTCTACATACTTTGATTTAAGACTTTATACTATCTTATCTCTTGCTTATATATAGTTGACTATAGTAATTTTATCCGCTAATAATATTATAGAGCAGATACGTCTCAACTAGCAAGAAACCAACAACAATTGTGCTCTGGATATACACTATTGAATAAACGCAATTTAAAAACGCTAAAATGATCAAAAGTTTTATTGACCCTCAGTAATTCTCGAACATTCAAGTAAAAGATCCCCATGTATGGCAAGCGCTTGGCATGACCGTAACATCCAGTGAATTTGGTATGTTACGAGCCATGATTACCTGTCGTGAACAAGCAAATTTACATCATCAAAATGGCAGAAGGTGACTAAAACACCAATTGGTTTGTCCAGATTTTTCTGTCAAAGCTAAAAAAGTTACACAGCACGGACAGCCTCCGCATTGTTTGTGTGTTTTTCTTAGATAAAGTTTTGTATTTCCTACACTGAGAGAAACCTAGCGCGTGATCCGTCCTTAAGGTGGCGCGGTTGAGCTGCCGCTTGTTTGGAACGCACGGGACACCAGACTAGCGCGTCAGCTGCACCACTAGACTGGCTTGAGTGTTGAGCTGTTAGGCTAGCGCAAGTACTGCATCATACAGTGTACCATACGTTAAGCATGAAAGTAAAATCGTATCTGTATTTATTCGTCGATCGAAATGCGATAAGTTTAAACGCATTATGACTCAAAAAGCCACTTTGTTTCATTTTCCATTTTGAAAAACTTGTTCATTTTAATCAAAAATTTGAATTAAAATATTTTTTACAAATACAACCACTTTTATCATGAAAAAACAAATATTCCAGCATACGTTGACTGACAACAAAAATAAAATTTTTTCCTTATTATTGTAGCCAGTATACTGTTTAAACAAACTTTTCACTATATCTTAAATCCCCTGTCAACCCGGCAATACATACTAAACGATTTATGAATATAGTTAATATAGGTGAAAGTTGTTAATTTTTTTTAATTAAACTTATTTCCGTTATTTCATTTAAATAAAGGCAAGAGAAGAATATCACTTATATTATCTTAATATAATTGTACTGTCTAATAAAAATAAGGTTATAAGAGTTAAAAAAAAGGGTCATTTACCATGACACCACTTCATGAAGTCATCGGAATATGCTGTATATCTTTGAAAGAAGCGGTCTATCCTTCATTTAACGTACATCAACAATAAATACTGAAGCACTAAACATTACATGGAATAGTTATAAAAAGAGTAAGTATTTATATACGGGTTGCTGTACCATATACCAAGTGCTGTACCGTATGTTGGACTGGCTGACGGACTATTGACACATTTGGTAGCTGCACTATGTAAAGTACGTAATGACGATCCACACTGGACGCTCAGTCGGCCCAAGTGGTGCAGTTGATGCGTCACTGATATAGTCAAGGGCTGCTTGGTTAATTCACGCAACGGCTGTACTTGTGGAGTAGCAGACGCGCGAGTTCTTTCTCAGTGTACTGATTCGCGTCTCTGCAAAGTATCTCGTGTCTACCACTTTTGACTCTTAACCAGAAACATTGTGTACGGTTTTTTTGTGAACCTACATATTGCATATACGTCAACTAAGTTATGATTTTCAATTACTCTATGCATGACCATCATGACACTTAATTTCGCAAATGTGCGTAAAAATACTTGTTCTTGATGAATATTGGTCGAAACAAGCTCCTAAGATAAATTTTAGTGATCGGAAAGTTTTTTATTGGAGACTATTAACTTATCATTTTAAACGTTTTTCAATGCATTTCAACTGCTAGGGGGTCTAAGTCGCCGATTGAGGTAAGAGGTCGTGGTCACGGTGGCGCAGCGGTAGAGTT